TATAGGCTCCACGAAAAAAGATGAGAGACCTTATATTTTCATTAGATCTGACTCTCTCTCTATTATAAATTGATATTCATCATACAGGACGTGGAGAAAAATTCTGAATTGAGAAAACCTTATCACAAATCTGCGATTGAGGTCTATGAAAATAACAAGTTTCCATCGTTCGAGTTTGAACCCCTTGATTCCTTTTCAATACTATGAATAGGTTTTTATCATTCATTAGAATATCCTATGCTGGTTAAAATTACATCGCCCAGTATATTTCACAGTTTATCAAATTCGAGAGCCGAACCGAAATAATAGATTACAACCCTCTTGTAACGAGTCGGTATAAAGCAAGGGTTTCTAATAGCCCTCAGTTGCCCGTTATAACCGCAAATGAATTTTGATAGATTTAGTTGCGACCAGAATACTTAAAGATTTAAGTACCTATTGTCATGTAGTATATGATGAATCAGAACATGGTATCGAGAGATATAATTGTTGTTTTTTTACTATGCCCCTTTTCCAATAACCCGATATCATTTTTGGATTGTGAAACGGACAAGGCTAGCTCGGTCCATCTGAACGGGGTCCGAATAGTTTTCTTTATTCAAACACATACTGTAAAGGATCTGGGCTCATTGTTTTTTGCCCATGCGAAGACAACTTTATAATACGTTTAGTTTCTAGGAAGAATAAGAAATTGTCAAGTGAAACTTGTTGGGTTTGAAATATATGTTGAATATTATTTATGGTTTCCTTTGGATGCAAGCTTGAGAGATTTCAAAATACCACCAAAATGATGGAATAACATCACATGATTGGACAGATACAACCTGGCGCTGATATACACTCAGCATACAACAGTACTGTTGGGCACAATTTTGTGGAAGTTCTTTTTTGAATTTTGTTCTGTTCAGAGTGTTCAGTTGTGTCACGTGATAGGCGGAACGCTGGTTAAGTAATCTGTTATTTGGAATCTCTACTTCCATTATGAGTTGAAGAGTTTTCAACTATTTGAGTTGATAACTCAATGGTGCTTTATGGATAATATTCAATTATCACTATTTCTCAACTAGTCTTTGGATGCAGTAAATATCAAGACAGTTTTATTTCATTCAGGTAGGTCAAAATCCTATTTCCATTCACTCTGATTAATTCATTATCCATCCATGATAAACATAGTTAATTCAGTTAGGTAACCGAATAGTTCGATTTATGAACCTCCTTCCTATCCCTTTTCCAGTTTTATTTCAGATTGAGAGTAAAGTTAACATAATTCATTGTTTCCAATGATAACTAAAGTCTGTCTCAGAGTAAAGTAATAGACTTTGATTGAAGACTATGCAAGCTCAGATATTTTACTAGTGCGATGCATCTACACGTGGGTCACAAGTTACAAGCCGCTAGTTGAGACTTCAGATATAAAAGGTAAGTTGATGATGACATATTGTGAATGATTATGTGGCATTTCAATACGACTTATTCAAGAACCTACTCGCCGACCGGTCTCGCTCGGCAAGAAATACTTTCTGTTGAAAATTAGAATTATATTAAATGAGGTGGTTTTAGGACAGGTTCTTGAATTAGTGATGAAGATAGGTTAATTGCTTATCAGAGACCACGTCTTTTACACATTTTGTGAAATGGTATTTCCTTGATGAGTGTGTTGTGCTTCCTTTCCTCAATTTTGAATTCGAAATGTCTCATGTATTTGAACATTTCAGGACGCCGGGAGTGAAAATACTCGAGGGGAAGCAGTTGTGGAAATATCACTGGACGAACCTTGAAAAATCAAGACCAATCAATCATTCAGCTTCATTTTCTCACAGAAGATTCTTCAGGATGCGACCAACTGGAAAAAATTGTTCAAAAAATCTCAACTCATCAATATTTCACGATGATTTTTTTTTTCGAAAAATAGAATGGAATGAGAGAAAAAGGATGGCTATATACCGGGTCAAGGTGACTCACCCCTATGACTTTTCCATTATTGAAGTTAAAGGTAGGAAAACGAACTTGGGAGGTTGTGAATTATAGTTCAATTGACATTTTCTGTCATATCTACTTGCTTTGCCGTATTTTCGGTTTGGCTGCAAAATGACTCATTGAACATTCACACTCTGATTTGTCCTATACATCTAATTGTCGAAAAAAAATCATGGATCGTTAATTCATTATCTATTTTATTTATGTAGTGGTGAGGCCAGGATTGCACCCGATCGTCCCAACCGGACCCAGCCGACCCCCCGACCGACCGCGTGTAGGCTATGGATATACACTTTCTGGATCCAGACGCCTTCTGCTGTTTCTCACTAGCGTCTGCAGAGAGAACGCTAGAAATAAAACTTGGCCATTGTAATTATGTACAAAACATCGAGTCTGATATTAGAGGCAAGGAACATATTTTTTCTGCATGGAACATGAAATGAGACTACTTTTTCTAAACAATCTGAGCTCTCTTGGCCCAAATGAACCTTTTTCTTGAGGAAGGAGAATGTCGTTTCTACATACAAAATGGGACTTCTTTTTTCCTCGAGCAATCTAACCTGACTCTGCCTAAAGAGATCATTTTCCGAAAAATCACCTGAGAACAAAATGAAAAAGAGTCGACCATTCCATGAGATCAAACCCGAGTTGCCGACGTGCTACATGTATTAAAGTAATTTATTTTTCTCAGGTCAGTTATTTACAACACAAATTCCTAACACAACATTACATAATTTGTACTGGAGCATCTTATAGTACCCCTAGGAGGTGACTGGCTAGGAGGATTTGTGGAGTGTTCGTCGCAGAAACCCATCTCCTTGGGCTAGGCCCTTCATAAAGGTAATCTTGTCGTGGGAACCCAGAGGGGCGGTGGAGTTGCTCATACGTGATCAGTGCAGGGAGTGTTCTCAAATGAAATATAAAAAAAAAACAAAAAACCTCCTTCTAGTTTGGCTCGGACAGCTGGGCCTCCACGTTTCCGTGTTTGTACACCTGTCCGAGTTCAGTGTCGGGTATGCTCGTGAGCCATGACACCATTTTATCATCTTGTTTGGGAGATAGTGTTGTCTAGATCCTCCCCGGTGTCTCAGACGTGTCCGACAATCCGGGAAGATTCCCGACTATAGATCCTCAGGTTCCCTAAAAACATCGGTTGATGCATATATTAGCTCGTGTTTTCTACGGATGTTGTGATGTTGTCTGAATGCGGTGATATTCCGGGTAAGGTCACTTTCAGCGATGTGGTATTTGTGGAATCTATTAGATATTTTCAGGATGTACTACATGGATTCACAACCACTGTGCCATCCGGATGCTTGAAAATTGTTGTATGAAGAAGGGATTCAGTTTGTGAATCGACACAAGCAGTTGCCCGCAAAATCACTAGAGTCTCGAGATCATACCCGTGTGTTCACCGAACACGCCCGATCGTTTCCTAAGCGGTGGGGAAACGTAAACGGGCAGCAGTATCTACGTTATGAATATTGGCGCGTGCCTGAATTATTTTGGAGTCAAATTTGTCAATTTAATGTACTTCGAAACGGAACACTAGTAGTTGTGTCTTCTTGTTTAACATATATTATTATAGGTAGACATCAAATCAATAAACATATAGTGCTCTCGCCATCGGTATTTGCTGAACTTCGCTATGGAAAAAATGTTGAATAACTATATTGGGATGAAAAATGATCTATACAGGGTGTATCTAAATAACACCGAAATAATTCAAGGGATGATTCCTTGTGATATAATATGATGAATAAAGGTCATATAAACATGTGTCCTAAACTTGCTTCGTTTTCGAGGTACAGGGTTACGTCCTGATTTCGAATCCGAAGTGATTTTCAACCTATCTTGCCTCCTCATATCATTTTCCGGAAATGTTGGTGGGTCCATGACCAGAGCAGTGTTTTTCACTGAAGATTACCTCACTTTGGTCATAGTTGGTATATATATCTATCGCTCCTTAAAATTGAACAGTTACGTTAGATATACGGGTTGATATTCCATTATAGAAGTGACATGCACACTGTTTATATTTTTAAATACATCCAGTGGGATTGAATTTTATTTTATGTTGAATATTAGAGTGTGTTTTTTTATGTGATATATTTGTTTTGTTTATTTCAAATATATATATTTTTTTAGTAGGCATACTCTAGTACTTCTTTTATATAATTCTGAAATCTGATCCACCCTGTATTTGTTTCAATTAAATGGCATCAGTAGATAGTAAATAGAATGTTAGGATAGGGACACATGTAAGCCATTTCGACAAATCAATATAGGTATTGTATAGTTTCGATACAAAAAAAAATCTCGATTTTTCACATTCTACGTATAGGTATACCTTGAGCTTGATTAACGAAATCATAGCTCAATTAGAAGAATCGAAAAATGTAATAAAATATAAGGTGTTCCATTTTGAATAACAAAGCTGCTATACTACTATACTACTAAGTACTATACATAACTACTAATAATAATTTCTAGTGAAGCAGATGAACATTATCGAAAATAATTTGAATAAAACGAGCGTCGTCGCCAACAAAACATAAGCATATAATATGTACATATAGTTTCATGATTTTCGATGAGTGGTTCGCTATTTACATGTAGGACTCGTCGTGACATAGCGAATTATTGCAAATCAAATCATCGCTTTCATTATCTGATAGGTCGCAGTAGATCACTTGATACCTATCAAATGTTTCTTATTTATTCGAAGAAAAAAAAATGTTGAAATGTGATCTGTGAAACTGTTGGTGGCCCACCCCGTACTACAAAAACAAAGACAGCATGAGAGAAGCTGCCTGCCCACTCATTGTATCATGACTGCCTGCTTACGTCTCGGTCTCCCCACCGCTTAGGTAATGATCGAGCGTGTTCGGTGAACACACGGGTATGATCTCGAGACTCTTGTGCAAAATCTACATACGTTCCCCCACCACGCGCTTTATTTCTTGCGTTCTCTCTGCAGGCGCTAGTCTGTTTCGCGCCGCGTGTTATGGTGTCTCTCCGACAGTCTCCGTCGTGCTTCTGCCGCGTCTAGAAGGCCATGTCTCGCCTGCCGGCCGGCGTTGTTTTCGCGTACCTCGTCGCGACCTTCTCGATTCTTCCTGCGGACGGGTCACAGCTCCTGCTGCCCGACACCAGTGGCATCGACGGTCAGCTGACTGCCGACCTCAAAGTCGATCACTTCTTCTCGCTGTGGCTGGTGTTCAACAATGACGACGTCGAATTATCAGGTTTGTTTTCTCGGAATAATCAAAACTAGCTGATGATCCCGACGTCGCACGTTTGGTGTGCCCATTTAAAAAAAAATAGACTATTGTTGCAGTTGTTCTGAGCTATGCTCGTATCTACAGTAGATATTGTTTTGTTATTTTTTCAAATTTTTGTATATACCTGTAGTTACTATCATATTATACTTCCACCTATTTTCATTCTCTGAGTATCTTCTGTATTTTTCGTTTGTTTTACGTAATAAAAATTTCAACTTGATCGGTCGAACCGTTTAGCAGTTGACGTACCGACAGCAGCGCCACCTACCGCATTCAATTGTTTTTTCAAATCATCCAGGAATCAACCCAATCGGTTCAGCCGATCAGAAGTTATGTGAAAAAAAAAGTACGACCCGTTTTGCTGTAAGGATAAAGCTTTTTCCCGCGGTAAGAAGTAGCCTATGTTCATCAGGGATGATGTTGTCTTCTAAGGGTGAAAAAATTTTTCGAATCGGTCTATTAGTATTGGAGCCTATCAAATACAAACAAAGTGTCAAATCTTTCCTCTTCATAATATTAGGTAGGTCAAGTACGCCAATTTTCAATTATGAAATCTGAACTTACAAGTGAACTGGAAGTCGATCAGTTCTTCTCGCTGTGTCAACAATGACCACGTCGAATTGTCAGGTTTGTTTTCTTGGAATACAAAAAAAACGGAGATCACATTTCCGAAACAATATCTAATTCGAAGGGGTCATTTGGTATTCGTCATCAGATGAAGACGAGAACCTCGAATGCAGAAGTTATAGGGCTCCTTCTGAACTATTCTGAAATCTCATCACATAGAACGAATAAATCGCAGTATTGAGCAACAGATCTCAACTATACCAATTTGCAATTTTCACATTCCAACTCTTTTTTATCTCTTAGAGCACACGAAAGGAAATTCTTATAATGATCGTGAAACATCGCGCGTACCTAGGAAGGATAGGGAGAGGAGGTGGGGGTTGGAATTTTTTTTGAACTTTTGGAGGTTATAAGTTCGAGTGTTGTTTTTGTGCTGACTGCTCGGCTGACTGGGTCTGTGGAGTTGGTTTGACTGGTATTGCTAGTGTTTAAATTATAGCAGCGATTTCTCAGGAACATTCCACGTGGAAGTATATATAGAAAAGTGAAAAGTCATCGACTTTTCTACAGTGTCTGATAGGGTCAAAGAGTTGGTGAGTTTGGCATCACTCATAAGGCGAATGGCTTTTCTCTGCATAGAATCTAAGAGCATCATCGTATGTTTAGGTGCTGAACTCCATACATGAGAATAGTATCCTGAAACTGGCTGAGAGTATTGCTGATGGTAATACCGAGCATAGATATACTTAGTTGTCTTGGTGGGAATGGTGCTACCAGACATTGTTATATCAGAAGTACTGAGTTCCATCTCTCTAGATAAAATACAGGCTTGAGTTTTGGTGCCGGTGAATTCAACTAGAGTATTCGTTTCCCAGGCAAGATCTTCATTGACAGCGTTGGCCTGCCTTCCTTGTAGGTTTTTACATTCCTGGAAAGAAAAGGTAATTCTAGAAGAACGCAGTATGTAGAATACTATCGTCTGCAAAGCTGTGGATAGGGCCAGTGGTTGCTCCTAATAGATCGTTGATATGAAGTAGGATCAATGTTGGTGTCAAAATTAATCCTTGTGGACCGCCGAAATTGTTGGCAATGGTATCAGACGATACTCTGTCCACCACCATATTGAGCGAAGATGACATAGCTGAAGTTGGTTTATATAAAACTGCGAATACAGAAGTTATTGAGCTCGTTCTGAATTACTTTGGGATCCTATCAGATGGAACTTATACATCGCACAATTCAGCAACAGATCTCAATAAGCCCAATTTTCAATTTCAAAATTTAAATTGCAACGGAACTAGAAGTCGATCATTTCTTCTCGCTGTGGCTGATGGTGTCCAATAATGACGACGTCGATTTGTCAGGTCTGTTTTTTTCTAGAATATTCGTAGATTTCAACAACAAAAGCTGATTTGAACGGGTCAATTGGTATATTAAAACGGATTCTAGAAACTGCATCATTGAAGATGAACAAGAACTTCCGATGCGAATGTTAAAAGGCTCATTCTGAACTACTATGAAATCTCACCAGATGAAACAAATAAATCAATCGCAGATCTGAGCAACATATGTCAACTACGCCAATTTTCAATTTAGATTTTCCAACTGACGACGCAACTAGAAATCGATTACTTCATCTCGTTGTGGATATTTAGCAATCAACAATATCAATGTCGAACACCCAGGTCTAGTAAATTTTACTAAGGCTCGAAAAATGCTTGCTCAGAAAGTCAGATCTGTTGGAAGGTTTTGTATATATTTCTGGAAAAAACTCGTAGATAAATAATTATAGGTATTTTCCTGAAACATCCATGCCTGAATCCAACCAGATAAAACATATGATGAATATCATAAGGGCGTAAAACGAATCGTTCACTTTTTGTTGTGACTTGTGTTCAACAATGACGACATCCATAACTTTCAGATTCATGGGTTTTTCAAGTAGTTCGGGAAACCATTCGTATGTCTGAACATTTTCTAGAAAAGGCTTTATTGTGAATGTAAAAATACTTCAAATGCAAAAGAAACTAGGTTTCCTGGATAACCAGAAAATTCCACAAGATTTTTTTGTTGAATTTCTTAAATTTGTATTTCACTTCGTTGAAGTTGGGAATCAACCTCCTCAGAAGTCTAAACTTGTACAGGATCAGGAAGAGCGGGACCAATACAATTGACTCTTCCTGAAATACAAGTGTCTACTCCGAAATACAATTGCAAGACAACTGGATAAGGGAGCTACTCGAAGTACAAGACATATCTTAGCAAATTCGGCATGATGGGTATTCCTCTGAGATATGGCGACAACAAAATCAAGACCGAGAAATGTGATATCATTGTGACAACCATAACCGCGGTCTCCTCTACATAACATGAACAAAGTATGTGTTCCGTGATTTCGACAGAAGTGTGAAAGTTATCCAGAGGTGTTTAATACATCAGAACCGAGATAAGAATATATTATGAAATATTGTGGTGCAAAATGCATTCAGTGGAAAACAATTCAAAAATAATAATAAAAACCTTGTCAAACAAGTAATCTCAGTCATCAGATTATTATGTGACAGCCAAACCCAGTTTTTCTGTGACAACCAATAACCCCATGTCACATGTTTTTTCAAATCGGTTATAAATTGCTCTTGTTTCACTGTGTTCGATAAATTGATGGGATACTTTGTATTTCATCAATTCAATTTCCGTATCTGATGTCACAATATGACTCAATTGTATTGTTATTCCACAGAATCTCATCCCCCATTCAATTTCAAATTTCAAGCGATATTCCGTACAGCAATACAACTCGTCCAGACGGATTCGTGTCATGTTGCTCGTCAACACAATTTCGTGAGTAATGAAGCGACAAAATTATCTCGACTCTTCAGAACATCGTGATACTACTTATGAAAATTCGTGAAAATTCAACCGTCTATAAAATCCTAGGTCTCATCAGAAGCTAGAAGTGTATTTTTGTAGATCGCATTGCAGTGCAGGCTGTGGATTCTGAAGGTTATATTATTACAAATCACAGCATCGAAAGAATTATCATCTCGTCAATTTATCAACAGTAAATATCCATCATACATTTGTAGTCACTTCTTTTTGCACGATTTGCTTCATATATTAACGTAACCTTTGATTCGAGAGTTATTGTTCAGTCATTCATAAGTGCTGATATAATATCATCACAATTGATGTTTATTATACAATTGCGATTGCGAATAAAACGTGGTACACTGTTTTGTTACATCTGACATACCTAACCTCACTATCTTCTGGTGCTAGATTGATGAAATGGTTAGTGAAGAGAACTGGAAAACTCGTGGAAAACTCAGGTTTATATTTTGGTCACCTGTCATTGGTAGACTGGTCTCTAGCTAATGCTGGGTACAGATGACAGCTTTCTGCATTTCAGCTTATAGCAATTCTGATTGTTCATAATTGATACTCGTAATGACAGAAAGTTTGTTTCAAGGTTAATAAGCGAAACTTATTTCAACAGTTAGAACGTTTTATAGAAAAAAAACTGATATTTGTCCAGATAACCCTAATACTGTGAATGTGTTAGAAGCTGTCATCTATACCCACCATAATTGGCGATTTTCAATTTCATCAGATGAAGTTGTTTAACAAGCACAGAATGATAGTAATTTCCTACGGCTCATGCTGCAAATCATGAGAGTGGAAAATTCGCATTCCGTGCGAGTTATTCACCCTGCTGTTTTTACGACTATAAGAGATGACAGCAACATCTTTGATTTTATCGGCATTTAGCCATCTGAATCAATGGCAATTTTTTGTTATGGCTTCAGAAAAACACGTGATTATTGTTAGAAATATGTGTCCTTCTTAGCAACGGTATTTTATGACAGTTTGGATGATATGTAAAACCATAATCATAGTGATTGCTAGTATTTCGAATAAAACATGACAAAATAATGACAGTCACTTCATGAGTCTATATTGATAGTACTTTGATAGTTATATCTCTCCAACGCGTTCAGAAGATGTATTGAAATGGAGTCAGTATAGGTATGAATAACAAATGCTCCAATCACAACTCTCCAGAAAACAAATAACTTCGATACATCCAGATATATTACTAGATAAATACAGCTACTGCTGATGAAATAGATCTCGAGTCCCTCTGAAATTGTTGATGCGGTAGGGAAAGTGTTATCCGAGTCTCCATCTCACTTCTGATTTTGTTTGGATGGTGATAAACTAAACATAAAACCCTCGTAAAGTTAAAGGAGACCCTGATGGTTGTGCAACCTTTGACTGCTGAACGAAGCAGGGGATTCGTCACTTTCAAATTACCTATATAAATACAGTGACTTACAGAAAGTTGGCATCGTAAAGAAAAAATATCGAATCATCTGAATATCCATTTTTCTACTAGC